GTATTTATATTTAGTAACTAATACCTCGTACGTTACAAGTATGTCGTATTTATGTTTATTAACTAATAACTCCTTAGTAATTAATGATTCCACGTATTTATTTGGCCGTTATTTGACAGACGTAAATGGCCATAATGTTAATTCGCGGAAATTTAAATACACTGATACTGATAATGAATTTAAAATTTGTCAAACAATACCAAATTTGCTAACCCATGGAAATAATTGAAATCAAAATACTTGGCAATGTATCATGTTTTGCGTCACATGCACACGATTGAAATATCATATAAAATGGGCCTAATATACTAATGTTGTATAAAATTTATTTAATTGTAAGAAAAAGTTTACATCCTGGAATGGCCACGATGTACCACGAATCCAAGTACCATCCTATGGCACCCAATTCCTATATCACCAACATAGATTCAACAATAAGACTTATATACTAAATTTTTATTTAATTAATTGTAAGGATGAGATTACATTGTGAAATGGCCACGATCTATTATGTCTGCCTTTCTCAATTTTAAGGTCATGGGTGCTTGTCCTGAATTTTGCAATTAACCTTCTAAGACCAGGGTTCTGCATATTAATTGAGTAAATTTTTCAATTTGTTTGAAAAGTCTGTATGTTCTTAGTTTGATTTTAACAAAGGTTTGTTTTGTCTATTACCATTATGCATGTTTAAAATCCATTGGTTCTTAAATGATTTGTTTATTTGTTTAGGAATAAAGTCTAAATTTTTCTTGTTTCTTATTTCACTTGAGTTTACAATGGTTACAATATCAATATCCTGCATGAGGGTTTCTGCACTAGTAAACCATTTACTTTTTACATTCTTATTTATTAAGTAGGCTTCTCTTAAAAATGTGTTATCAGTTTGTTACTCGACTGAAGTACTTAAGTCGTTGTTTCAACAGACAATGGAGTACCTTCCTATCTTCTTTATTGATGAGTCCGGGTGATGAGTAAATTCAACCTATATTTAAATAAATTTAGTGACAATTCGGTCTCTGATGGGATATATAAAATCACTGTTTGGTTTAGAATGGGGTATGGTTTTTGAGGTGAAAATGATCTATGATGGGTTTTTGCCTTTAACTCCTGGCCGCACACTTGACCAAACTGAATGGCCAGTTCCCCCTCCCCGGGACACAAGTTTACAAAACGACACTATCATTGCATCTGCGACCGTCTGGCTCTGCTATGTAGTGACAACATGAATAAGGCTAGTCGCCCGTGTATCGTGCAGTATTTTTTTACCGTGATATGACAGAGCATTGCTTCGTCACTAAAATCAACAACATCGTTCAGTATTTTATTTTTTACTTTGACATGACTGAAATCAAAATCGGGAATCAAAAACACTCGCAGACCATTAACACCGCATAAACCGGTTGACTTCTACAGCTTGCACCTGCAAACCACATGCCTGACTGAAAGCTTATGATTGGGTGTTAACGTAAAGTGAAGACAATAGTTTCCCGCTATACTGTTGAACCGCGGGAAAAATTTATTCATTTGACAGCACGCATAACATTTGTCGTCATGTCCGGAAAGAGATGTATTCCTCCACCATCGTCATTTCCAAAACGGTGTAGAACTGACACGACATCAATTCCGAAAGCGTCTGTTTGTAATAAAACGCCTTTAAAACCATCGAAAATTGGTATTGCTAGAAGAAAAGATCATGAAGTCCGTCGGCCAACAAGGTAAAGTACAAAGTAGGTTAGAGTGTTTTCATATTGATCATTAAAGATGGCCGACTGCTTTTCCCCCTTAGTGTTTTTCTTATTTCAAAACTCGGGGTACACTGGCAAATTTTTGAAATTAATTCGTGTGGGCGAAGAATGAACAATGTCCAAATGTCCCTGGCAGTCAATTAGTAATAAAATATTTTCAAAAATAAATAAATAAAAATTTAAATGACTATCCGTATTAAAGCTGTGGTTCATATCCCTCTTGTTAGCTGCTGATCTTTTATTCATTTTTTGTACATTACTGGCCCCAATTACAACAAAATATGATCAGAAACATGGCTGATAAATAAAAGGAAGTTAAAAATCAGTTATCAATGACAGCTGAGGTTAGAGGTTAGTGATTGTAGTTAGATGGGTGAAATAGGCACGACATCTCACAATTTTTAAAACCATGCGCATTTTCGTGACAAACGTGCTGTCCTGGATCAATCTGTTCTCATTCGGTTATCCGAATTAGTTTTAAACCTTAATTGTTTTACTTCCCATGATAATTTCTATACTCGGGTGCGCGGCGTTGCCATGGGTACCCATATGGACCCGTCCTAAGCTTGTCTTTTTATGGGGTATCTTGAACAAGCCATTTTTAAGTCATATAGAGGTCCACGCCCCGACTTATTTAAACGTTATATTGATGATTGTGTGGGTGCGGCCTCTTGTTCACGCGATGACCTTAATGAGTTTATCAATTTTGTGTCAAATTTCAATCCAGCCATTCAGTTTACATCTACAGTTTCTAACGTGTTAATATCATTTCTTGATATCAGCTTATTCATAAATCATAACTCATTGCGTACATCAATTTATTACAAATCTACAGATTCCCATTATTATGTATTTTATAACTCTTCCCTTCCCTTATTCAGTCTCTCGGGTTGGGCCGTATCTGTTCAGACAATACAGATTTCTTTAATCTAGTCCAAATTATGCGTCAATTTTCCATATCTCGCGATAATCCTGCCCCTATTGTGAATGCTGCGGTTGTGCATGTGCAGTCAAAATCCCAGGATCAGTCTTTGTCGCCCAGTAAACCTTAGGGTAGTGATCGTATTCCTTTAGTCCTTACTTATCGCCCCCATACAAATATAATCTGTAAAATTCCTTTTGAAAGTTTTCACTATTACAAAATAAACCCAATACTAAAGCTATATTTAAATCAGTACCCATTATGGCTAATAGACGAGATTCCAACAGTAAAGATCGTTTGGTCCACTCGTATTAAGTGTACTCGGTGTAAAATGTTATATATTGGCGAAACCAAACGACAGTTCGTCTCTCTAAAGATTCCGACAGTTGTGGACTTTGCCGTGAGACGGCACCACTCCGTGTGATTCTGTTACCGTAATGCATAAACCGGCGTCGGCTGAAGCGTGGCGAATCAACTGTTTTTATTTTTGTAAAAATGTAATTTGAATAAATAAAAAACGTAAATTCGTAAACATGGGCAAGATATAAAATGTAATCAACTATTTTATTTGTCAGTAATTTGTAAAAAGATATTTTTTGTAAGCGTATAAAGCATTTTCCACATTAAATGTCGCAATTCATACACAATTTTCAATTTTGACTCTTAAAACACAAATTATCAAAACTATTATAAAGGTAATGCAACTTTCATTTTATTTCAACATGGCGGATGTACAGTGGCAACGCATGAACATGATACACATGGCATGATCTTGTCTTTTGTGTAGTAGACTAGACATTTAAGTATGTTCTATCGATCGATCGCAATTTAATAAGGTGTAGACATGGAAATCGTGTTTTTGTACGTGCCATTTGTTATTCCCCGTTCGGGGACTATTAATTTGGGTTCGTTCCATCCGTCCGTCTATCTGTATGTACGCCCGTCCGCCCGGAGCTATATCTCTGACACCCTGACGGATTTCATTCACACTTTACATGAAGACAGCACATAATATTATGCATATGCGCGTCAAGTTACTTTATGATCGGAGCAAAAATGGCCGACTGGCGGCCATTTTGATTGTAAAATTTGCCATTTCTGATACCTAAACGTGTCCGCATTAATTTCTCTGTAATGACTAGGCCAATTTGGATCAAAGTTAGTATGATGATCATACATATTTGCTTTTAGTTGCATGTCATATTTGTTTCTGCGATTCAAACTAATATGGCTGACTGGCGGCTATTTTGTTTTTCATGATACCCATGCCTACTTTCCCATGAATGCAATGAACATTTCTGTTTAAATTGTGTACAAAAACACTATACCAATAGATACATGAACATTATTTTTGTAATTTGATTCAATATGACTGCCCAATGTCCAATTCTCGTGTACAAGCACTTTTACAAATCCATCTCCTATTAATGATTTCAATCTAATCTCAATGATTTCATCAGTATCAAATTGATATGTTAGATCACAAAGTTTCGTACGGGGACTGTGTCATTAACAATAACTTGTTTTTATTGCGCTGAGCCCGGTAATCCCCTCAAGCCTGGACAACCCTCAAAGTTTAGATTTGTTGGGGTTTGGCCAGCCAATGAATAATTTTAGTAGCCAGCTGAAAATTTCACTGGCCAGACCCAAATATCTGGTGGCCAAACTTCAAAATGTGAATGCAACTTATTATTGGTTACCATAAGAATTTGAGTAAAAGAAGCTAACCATTCATTTAAATATGGATAATCAATTTTATTTTCATTTTCAATTGCATGTAATGTATTACGACTGAATATAGATCATAGGAAAGAAATGGTAATTCTGCTTTGGCAATGCAGTTAGCAGTGTTCATTTTTAATATCAAATCGGAATATGACTTTTCATCAAGTGGTTTTTCAAAATTATATTGATTATACTTATTTTTAACTATCAATTTTTTTACAGAGGTGCTGGCAACTGCTTCAATCTTGCAAGAGACATTTCTTCGGAAATTACGTACGTACGTCTGTGGAACTTGCAGAATTTTGTAGCAGTTCAATTTTTTCTGGCTTCTTCCAACATAGTGTCCGTGACACAATTGCCATAAAATCATTTCTTGTAGTAAAAATCAAATGGTTTACAGTGTTTTATACTTTTTGATATTGACTGAAATTTAATAATATTACTGCACTAAGAAGACTTCAAACAATCACTGTTACTACTGGTACTCCATTAAAGATTTTGAGCCGACCGACCATTATCGATACTGGCTTGTTTAATTATTACTTGCTTTGAAAACACGCCTTTGTATTTACAACTGTTAACAGATGTTAATGTTATGTACAGTGAATACATTTAAAATAATAAACCATACTGAATTACTAAAAAATTGTATTACATATTTAAGTCGATGATTTTTTGTGTTGTATGGTTATGTGGAACATGAAATGTGTTGACGCCGGAAGTTTGAAAGTTGTGATCACAGCTGATTCAAAACAACTATATTCAATTATTGTTTTAATACAATGCCAGACAAATTGTATTCAAATGTGACAGCTTTGTAATGAGATGTCTATTCACTGGCTCACTCTGTATGGTTCCTCTTCATAGGGCTCCAACTGAAACTAGTCAACAACTGACTAAATTGCAGAATGAAAACAAAATGTATAAAGAAGAACTGAGAAAGATAAAGGTTTGTGTACAATATTTTGCTACGAATTCTAGGGAGTAGTATTGTGCTGGCATAAATAAGTAGGCAACCACACAATTATGCACGTTTTTGCCCCCTGTGGTTCTTATTGCATTCAATTAAAATTTTGTTGATGTAATTTTTAAATGTTTAAATTTACATTCGTCCACTGATTAATAAATAGTACTTCAGTCACAGTCCCTCATTGATAAAATCATAAAGGGACTGTCATGATTTATATTTTCATGTATTTCGGTGAGGCCGCTTTTTGCAGTTATAGCGACTTCCAATGGTGACCACACTTGTTCGTGACTTGTTATGATCAGGTTCACTCGTATGTTAGGGAATTAGTGATTTGAACTGGCTGATATAATGGTCGACTATGGAAGTTGGTTAAGTCAACGACGCGCCTGTAAATATGATGGTTATGTCCTGGTATCCGGGGCAATTAATCTAACATTATAGCGTGTTAAATACGTTGCGTGATTGGCTATATGTGTGAAGTCTTTTAACTTCTCTGTAATTGGTTAACAGCTGGAAAAGTGAATAAAGTGGTCTCGGCATGAGAGAGTCAGTGGGGGTGCGGCCGAGAAGCAACACGGCTGAGACAAAATGTAACACATTTCGATTCTCTGTGTGTCTTTGTTCGATTGAATGGGTGGCGAACTTCCCGATCACCGGTTACCTGACTTGAAGATTTAATAACCCGATAATTAAGCCATCATAGGACTGTGCTTCAGTACGAACTTGAATATTAACACGGCGAGTGTCATATTTTTTGTAAAACGCGTATATTGTTGTGTACTTTCCAATTACATATATCTTTGTTAATCTTGAGCCAACTGCACATAGTTTTTCATTCAGAAAAGGGATTTTTTTCACCAGCATGCAAAGTATACACTATCAAGCATTATAATAATATGCCGTGAAACTTTCATTTCTTGCACTGTATAATACGCCTTTCTTTGGACCAAATGAACACAATCTCTCGACAAATATAATTCTAAAGAGTATGCCGATCACATTGACTGTTGCAAGAGTATTTCAATGACTGTGTTCTAGTAAGAGATAATGGCCAAAGAATCAGAATGGTTTAATAAGATTTGTGCCTGCATCTATTGAGTTTCCCTCGCATGCTATATTGTTGCTGCGTTTATTTGTTCAATTATGATGTGGTGCAGGTGTGGATGACTCGCTTGTCTAGTTTACATCACTAGATACAGCTTTTTACGTTTTAATTCTATACATTGCATTTCTCAAATTCCAAGACATAATAATACATTTGTGTACTTGGCTTTTTGTATTTTCAAATCGCAGGAAATTGTAATTAAATGTGACGAAAAGCGGAAAGAACTTGAGGAACAGCTTCAAAAGGAACAATTAAAGCATGGTGAAACAATAGGTAATTCAAATATGACAAATCTGTTTTAGACTCGACCTGAAACAGATGCTAGTAAAAAAATGTTGGGCAATCCTCAGCAACCAACAAGTTATAATCATATCACACACATTGGTTTTCTTGTTTGTTTTACTGATGGATCCATTTTTTGTGAATATTTGAAAATAAATAAAAAAAAAGCCACGAGTGTGCTAATTTGCATAATGGTGTATGTATTGACCATCTGGTCGTATTGATAAATTCAATGTTGAATCATATTGGTTACTATGTTGTACTAGTGGAATATTCCGTTGAAAGCACACAAGTTCTAAATGTATTTCGGAAAATAATAAATGTATTTATTTTTCTACGGTTGACCAAATCTGCCAATTCAAATATTAGTTTTAGGGTATGTTTTCTGTCTATTCTTCATAATTATTCTAAAATAAAATATAGTTTGGAAAAGGAAACAATTCATGTGCAATATCTGCAGTATGGCTCTTATTTTCGCATATCTGTTTATATTTCTCAGTTATGCAAGTGCTTCTATATGAGCTGTGGCGGTTTGCAATTACTTGTTTATGGTATTTTCAGATTTTCTTGGTTCGAAGCAGAAAAGTGCAGAAGCCGAACACAATGAATTACGGAAACAAGTGTAAATTGAAGTAGTTTTCAGACAAAGCATACTTGTTCATCTAAGTATATTCTGTCTAAACTGATTTTTTTTGTAAAGCTTGTGCAGTAGTGTATTGTTGTAATGCTGTGGTGTATTGGTACATTATTGTAATGCTGTGGTGTATTGGTACATTATTGTAATGCTGTGGCGTATTGGTACATTATTGTAATGCTGTGGCGTATTGGTACATTATTGTAATGCTGTGGCGTATTGGTACATTATTGTAATGCTGTGGCGTATTGGTACATTATTGTAATGCTGTGGTGTATTGGTACACTATTGTAATGCTGTGGCGTATTGGTACATTATTGTAATGCTGTGGCGTATTGGTACATTATTGTAATGCTGTGTGGCGTATTGGTACATTATTGTAATGCTGTGGCGTATTGGTACATTATTGTAATGCTGTGGCGTATTGGCACATTATTGTAATGATGTGGTGTATTGGCACATTGTAATGATGTGGTGTATTGGCACATTGTAATGCTGTGGTGTATTGGCACATTGTAATGCTGTGGTGTATT